CTGCCCCGATGTTTATCGTATCATTATTCAATTTATTGTGTGTTTATATAATGTTTCACCACATTAAAAAAGCAATTAACTATGTTTTATATAGAGCACCTGTTGGCTTTTTTTTTTTTTTTTTTTTTTCCCCCTATAATATGATATTATAGGGGGGGGGGTGTTCATAGTAGTGACGGAACATGTCATCCAGTTCAAAAGTGTGGCTCATTGAAATGGAGCTTAACGGCACAGAGGACTAATATATCGGGGAATACATTCATTGTTGTTTTCATTTGATTTGTTGATGAGGAGCAGCGTTATCGTTTAGAAGTCGGCTTGGGATGTTTTGATGGCCTAATGGTTGAAGACACTGACTGTCATTGCCAGGTCTTCCCTGATTTGCTTCCCTTGGCCCTGACCCCATCTCTCATCTGTTATTTTCTGTCAACTCTCTACATCAAAGGCAAAACTGATCAAAGTTGATCAAAGTTTGTAAACGTACTATAGCTGGAACAGATGGATGCCCTGAGGATGGTTTCTATTATATGCGCGTTAAAGGTCACAAATCGAACGCTCCATGTTGCTCCGACTGCTACAGTGACAGGTTGGCTAGAGCCAGACTGAGACTGACTGAGAGGCCAATATGAACCAACACTGGCTCCTCAAACACAGAGGCTTTGGCCTACATTCAGTCCACTAAATTGCAGCAGTAAATCTTTTACAGTCCATCTCTTGTTCTTTTGTGACATTTAGTTGTGACAACCAAAAACATCTGACACAAAGAAGCGGTTTTAGTTCCCGCTGGTTTTAACGGGTTTTTAACGAGGTTTATTTTAAGGTTACGTTCTCTAAAGGTGTTAATTTTTTTTCCTGTAAGACTTGAAGGCAAATTTCCAAAAGAAACCTTGTTAAAGAGTGGGCAAACTCCTCAAGCAGCCAGTGATTCCCAGTAAAGCCTACAGTCGGCCTGTATTGCGTAGCTCGCTCTGGAATGAAGCGTGAGGCCAACTTCTCTGCAGAGGAACCGCATGTCTGTCTGCTAGTATTTTCAAACTCATTATTTTTGTCGGTGTCCACAGCTCGTCATCATAGTTAAGTCTTTGAATGAAGATTGAATGGCAAACCAAGCAAAGAGCTGTGCTTTAGGGTTATTTTTCTATTTTTAAGTTTTGTCTTGATTATTGTGTTCATTGTTTATAGTTATGCAGCAGTCACCAAGTCAAATTCCTTGTATGTGTAAGGTACTTGGCAATAAACGGTTCTGATTCTGAAGAATAACTGAAGTATAGGTTGTAACTATGCCATATTTGATTACAAATATATATTTTTCCAGCTATATTTTAACATGTAGTTAGGATCTGCGTCATATGGAAATCAACCCATTTGAAATCTAATGAAACAACAGTTAGATTTCACAGTTTTTGTTTTTAAAATGGGAATTATTAGCAGGATTACAATTTTAACATTACATTTTAATCTAAAATAAAGAATGCTACCATGCACATACGGACACATTACAACACTGCCTTCACTGGGTGGAAATGTCGCCATTATTTTGTAATAAAAGGGGAAGAGTGTCACAGTACTGAAAGTTATCGCAAAGCCGGATGGTTTGTACATTTTCCAGTTCATCGAGATGGTCTTTTTACAGAGAGGCATCCCAGCATGAAAAGTTGGTTCGTAAGAAATGGGCTTCCAATTTCTGCTTAGGCAAACACAACACCGGGACAGAACAGCAAATTTGCATGCAGGTCAATTTAATTGATATGGGTGGTGCTGCTGCTGCTGCTACAAATTAACATTCCGGCATCACTTTTATGCCAAATGACTTGAGTCCTTGGATGATAGGCAGAACTTGTACTGTGATGGTGTTCCCCTTCTCTGCTTTACAAACAAAATAATGGCGTCATTATCTTCATTGGTAGTGAGGTAATCCAAAAGTAACAAAATTAAGTTACTTTCATTCTGTTATACTTGGATTAGGTCACCGACTACATTTTTTACAGGTTTTTGTTAATTGCATTTAGTAATAAATACTGATAGAAATGATGGCCATCACCATCGAAAAACAAACCAAGTTATTATAAACTGGAATTGTCCTTTTCATAAGAGAACAGCAGTGTGTTGTCCAGAGCCGTGCCTGTTCCCCATCCAGCTGCTGGTGAAAAGCCGTGTGTGCTGTTCAGGGGGAAAAGAAATTAGTCAAGAGTCTTGCGTGGCCCCAGCTGTTGTTGGATAGAGATGAGCCCCGGTGTACACAAAAAAAAGCTGACCACCCGCCAAATCTTTATGGATCCACAATCCAAGGAATCCAGCCTCTGGTTTCAGCCCTGTGTGACGTCACCATGTTTACAGGCTTGTATGTAGGCTGCTTGGCTGGAGGTCAAACTGTCTGGATGTATGTGGGGTTGTTTTAGCCATCCACTGTGTCCCACATGCGTATAATGTTGTGTAATGCTAGAGTCTTAGCTGTGTGTGTGTGTGTGTGTGTGTGTGTGTGCGTGTGTGTGTGTGTCTCCTAAAACCTGGCAGGGTTCCTAGCTAGTGAGGGTTGCACCAGTGTCGTATCCAGGTTTCTGCCCTAGAGACATGGAAACGGACCAATCGGAGGTGTTTTGGAGAAAATCCTTGGGTGCCTATTACTGACCTATTTGTAGTTCGGCAGGCTTTGACACTCTTTGCAAACCCTGCAACCATCAGAGCAGCCTTATTAGGGAGACGCATAGAGTTGGATCAAGTCAGAACAACACATTACTTTTGCTCATCGAGTTACATTTAGAAGCTCTCGCTCAGCAAAAATCTCCTTCACATGAGTTTCTCATTTTAATTTGACTGTTTTTTTTAGTTTTTTTTTATGTCTTTCATAATTTAACTGCAGCAAACGGCTTGCTGCACGTCTGCCCAGAAACATCTTGTTGATCCAATACCTTAACATGGTACAGCCAGCCTGGCACCCATCATGCCTCTGTCCTTTCCTTCCCTCCCAGCTTTGCCTTGCCTGCCTGTCTGTCTGGAAAAACCTAGCGTTTACTGTGGCGAACTGGGCAGTGCTGCAAAACCAGTGGGAGGAAAGCCCCGACTCGGATTATGCTGGTTTATTGCCGTCTGAATTTAGATCCTGAAAATATTTCTTCTAAAACGATATGGAAGACTTTCCAACAAAGACAAGTTTTTACAGTGTGTTGCATTCTATGAATAGGCTTTACTATGAGATGCATGGTGAGGCATTCACAGTGCAGAGTTCACAGTAGTTTGTGCCCATGTGCAGTTTCATTGCCCTTGGTGACTTGTAAAATAATATTTACAGCTTGGATGATTGGATCAAATTAACCCTTACAGTTCATGTTAAGTATTTCCAGTCCCTGGCATGTATAGGCCGACGGGGACTGAAGGAGGGAGAGCTGGGTTGGTGGAGGGGAAGGTCTGAAGGCCAGTTCTTGGTTATCAGTGTTGTTGTTGCATCCAGCTTTCAAATCCCTCCCCATGCAAAGCCACCAGCAAGCAGTGAGTCTCCTTGGAGTCAACGACTGCACACAAACAGACGCAATATTGCGTTGAATTACAAGATAACTTTCCGGTTTCATTTTCAAAACAGTGCCAGTGTTCTTGCCAGAATGCACTGTGTTATTCCTCAGGTAGCGTATAACGTGCATTGTGCTTTCCGGGTGGTTTACATACACCATTGTGAATAATAGATAATGCCTCTCTTAAGGTCTTGTCTGGGTTAAGCTGTTGAAATGCATCTTCATCTGCTATTCAGGAACACAGTAATACTGTATACAGGCATTGTGGGCGTGCAGTCAGTCGATCTGAGCAACATGTTCCAGCACCGTTTGGTGTCACTTTCTAACGCACTGGGTAGCACAGAGGGAGGTAAACACGTGAATTTAAACAGCAACAACACTTGCTTCGGTTTAGGCAACAAAACCCCTTAGTTTAGGAAGAGCATCTTGGTTTGGCTTAAAGTAACTGCGTAAACGGTGTACAATTTAAACAGTGTAACATAAGTGCACACATGTCACAAACATCACAATGGTAACTTCAAAATAACTTCACTTGGAGACATGAAGACCGGTCTCTTGGTTGAAAGTCCTGTATTTGTTTGATCCGCCTCCCCTCCCACCCTCCACGTGTTTTTGTTTTTTTTGTCTTTTTACTCCGTCATCACACCACAGGAGCATTTTCTCTGAGCGTCTAATGGCTCTGATTTTACATTGTAGTTACTTAAAAGCCTGGTGTGTCCCACACAAACACTGAAGGGTGCCTCGTGCCTCGGTATCGGACGCTGAGGGGTGGGTCAGAGCGTCAGTATTTGACGCCCTGGGAATGAAAACGGGCTAATCTGTGATACAATGTCTCTTATAAATGAATGTTCGATTGTTATTATGAATGTTAACATACTGGCTTCTTTAGTTTAAAGTACTTTACGTTAGGAGATATCGTTGTAGGCCTGTATGTGTTAACGGTTTATTCGGGCTCTGGGACTAAATGGTTTATTGATTGATCAAGAAAATAATCAATAATGAAACTTACTAGTTGTAGCCCTAGCAGACATGCAAGGTATAGTATTAGTATTATTGTATCCACTGTCCACATCGGATGTTATGAGACGAAAGCCATCAGTCTGCTTAACCGTAGCCTCTGTAGTGTATTGTATTGATATTAAAGTGATATTAGGATTTTAACAGTGTGATGGCTGCAGGCGGGACTTCCCCTGGATTTGCCTCCGTCTGGCCGCTGGTTGCCTCAATGTCACATCTTGCAACATCTGCAGCTGATCCGCGCTCACACAGGATGTGAACATGTATTTCCTGTGGCGCTCCCTCTCTGCTGCAGGTATACACTCTGGGCACTCGTGGTGAAACCAGTTCACACATACTAACACACTTCAGATACCGCTGTACACACACACAGAGATCGTGGAGGGGTCACGGTTTCATATAGTATAGTTCAGCAGATGCTTCTATGTCGGCGCCGTGGCGGTCGCAGCGGTGCCGGGCAGTTAAATATCAGCTGGGGGAGGGAGAGTTGACACAACATGCAAGGTCAGTGTTAACGACGCTGTCGGGGTAAAACTGTGTGACCTAAGTTAGGATGTGAAACGGAAAGAGGTACCAAAGGTTTTAAATTTCTTTTGATCTTACTTTTTTTTAACATGTGTTCTTTTCAGATTAGTGTTTGAAATACAATCTACTTGGATTCATTCTTGTACCAGTGGCACAGTGATATTTTTATTTTCTAATTTTCAGTTTATATCCAGCAGCATCTTGTCATCCCTCCTGGTGTCCCACCTCCTCACCGCCTGTATCTAAATAAATCCACGAGGCTCTATAGAGTCAACCTTGTCCCCGTCTTCCCTTTTATATAAACCACTAAATGATTTTGCCAAATATGATTTGGTGGAAACACTATTGCTGTATGGATTACATTCAGTGGCAATGCTTCCAGTGCAAGAGTTGTTCGGGTGTTTTTCACTGCAGTAGGTGAAGGCGTTCAGGTGAACTGGTTGGCACTGGATACTTTCCCTAACCCGTAACCAGGTGAAGTGAGTTACCAAAACAGCAGCGTGTGGAAGAAATAGAATAGAATGTGCTGCATGCTGTTGATTTGATTGATTAATCATTAAATGACTATTCAATTCCTTTCAAAAAGAATGACCAGATTCAGTGATAATGAAAATCACAGTTCTTTTACAGTTAGAGTTTTGCAGTTAATTAAATGTGTGAAAAGATCTTCAATTTGATGACATGCAGCATTTTATAATTAACTGTGTTAACAGTTTTAACACCCATAACCAAATCACACAATCGGTTCATCTATCGCTTCATGTGTATTTCTGCTTTACTGCGTCACTTCTAGATAAAAACAGCAAACTGAAAGAAAAGGCTTCTCTTCATAATGAATATAAGACTTAAGGTGGCCTGAAAAATATATATAAAATTACTGAAATGAAAGAACCAAGGTTTTTGTCTAAAAATCCTTCAGACTCGGTCGTACACTGCTGCAGAGCAGCGATTTGGTGTACTGATGCAGATCTAATGGCATAAACAGTGAAAACAGAACCGCTGCGTTCATATTTGTCAGAATGAAATGTTCAATTCCTCCATCCTCCACTGATCCAGCCAGTATTTTTGTCTCCTTTCCCTCCCCTCGCCTCCCTCCCTCCGTCTCTCTGCATCTTTTCCCTCTTTTTTTTTTTTTTTTCTCATTGTGAACAGCTTACTGCAGTATCCTTAAAGTCCCTGCATGTGTCCTGAGTTGTCCTCTCTTACCCGGCATGCACCGCAGCGATGTGGTGCTCTATCGGCTCAGGATGGGCGCGCACTTTTGATGTGGGGAGCAGGAGGGAGGGGGGGGGGGGTGCAGGCAGACGCTATGATGCTGCTTTATACACTCGTTTCAATGGTTTCCCTCGGTGCCCACTGCTGTCATCAATTTGAAAAGGGCTTCTTTTTTTTCATCCACCCTTTTTTTTGCTGTCTTTTTTTTTTTTATTGGGCCCCTGAAATTGTGTCCATGAGGCTGGAAAAAAAGGAGGGGAAAAAAAGACCTCGGTTTTGCTGCAAACAGAGTCTGCAAGCCGGCGCATTGTCCTCATCTGACCCACACTGGCTCATACAGGCGAAGGCAGAGACTGTCAGACTGAAAGGGAGGGAGGGGGTGTGTGTGTGTGTGTGTGTGTGTGTGTGTGTGTGTGTGTGTGTGTGTGTGTGTGTGTGTGTGTGAGAAAGGTGGTGGTGTTAGTAAGGCAAGAGATGCATGAAATTTTTATATTTTTCTCATCTTCATTTGCAGAATGCCTATGTTGCACATTGTTTTCTGTATGTTCACAACATAAGCCTCTGCGTCTCTCACACACACACACACACAATTTGCTCTGCGGTTGTAATCTTCCCTCATATTTATTCTCATCATACATTTTGGCAATAACTCAGTTAGTGTCGGAAACAATTAGTCAGTTAATTGATGAGTAAATCAATAGAAGATTGATCATCAATCATTTTGACAATTGATTCATGATTTCATGCAATATTAACAAAATGTTCCGACGTTTCAAATATGAGGATTTACTGCGTATCGTCATTGTTGATTTAGACAAGATTGACGTGATTTTTTTTATTTTATTTTGATGACCAATTAACCAAATGCTGAGTTTCTGTTCATTCTGTCTTAAAAATAATATTCTATATTATGCCATCATCAGCTGATCTATAATGGATTTCAATTCATCAACCCTCACTAGTCCACATCTATTACATTACATATTAATCCAAAGGCCAACACTGACTATACAGACTCATGAAATCACACTTCCTTACATAAATTCCTTTATAATTCTCATTTATCTTGCTTCTTTGCAATAACAGTATATCATATGATGATGTTCTACTACCTCTCCCAGAAGAAGAAGAAAGTTCTACTTTTTAAAATAGTTTTCTTCCCCATGAAAGCTTTATCCCTGAGCAGTCCCACAAAGTTTGAAGGAGAGTGCCAATCAATGAATCATTTAGTCTTTAAAATGTCTTGTTTTATTCAACCAGCTGTCTAAAATAATGTTAAATTTACGACGATAAAGCAAAAAAAAAAGTATTTAATGCTCCTATTTGAGAAGTCGGAGGCAAAAGTTTGGCAACTCACTAGTGCGACATCACATTTATTTTGGACTGATAGACAAAAGCAGCAATGTGAAGATAGCACCTTGGTATTTTGGACATTCTGATGAGTAGTTTTCACTGTTTTATGGCCTTTTTATGGACTGAATGATTAATCTACCAGTCAAAGTTGTGAACAGTTATAGGTGGACTGGACACAAGTTCTGAAGCTCCGTGAGCTCGTGAGGGGACCTTAAACATATCACATAATCTTCATCAGCAGATGGAGTATAAAGTTATGTTTCTAAGGGAGAGTTTTCAAGATGAACTCCATCCGCTGATGCTGAAAGCTCTGGAAAAAACGGCTCATAAAAGGTGAAGACTGAACTTCGATGCTTGAGTGCAAATTTCATGAGAAAACTAAGATGACCCATTCCGTGGAACATTGTTTGAATGTAGTGTTTTTACTGCAGTATTATGACGAATATCGGTGTCATCGTGTAACATCTTCACATAATGTTTTCAACACTTTGTAGAATTAGCACAGGTAGTGATTACAGCCGTGACTCATTTTGGTCCCAGCTGTTTCCTCGGGTGCTTGACTCAGACCAATTATGTCACTTATCTTTACCTTTGTGCTTTCTTCATGTAGCTCTGCTCACTGGAAGGTGTCGTGTCCTTGAGGGTCGGTCTTGACAGTCTTCTGTCTTCTTGTTTCCTCTCCTCAACTCCCTATAACAGTGTTTGTTCCTGATGCATAATATTTACGTGGTTGCATATGAATGTTTTTCTTAGAGGAGCTGTTCATCTTTAGTGAGGATAATGTTAAGTTTGGGTTCAGTAATGGACTCGCTGCCTCCAGCATTGACTTGGCTTTCTGCTTCCTTGTGCTTTAATGGTGATTTTTATTTTGTGTCTGATTCACAGATGTGTGCCATCATTGAAGTTCAGTTTTCACTCTGACCTTCATGTTGTTACTTTCACTTTTTTCAACACACAACACTGTTTTCTGATCCAATCTCCTTTGTGCTGTTGAAGATGTAATGAATTTGCTTTCAGGTTACTGTTGATACAAACCAAACATGTTCTGCTGCTTTACCTTAAAAGCCTACAAAACTAATTATATGCTTGTACTATACGTAACATGCCCCATTGAGGTACGTCCTGTGTCTACGCCCTTTAAACTACCTAAATGTCCCCCTCGCTGTCCCTGTTCTGCAAGTTTTGCAAACCCGTGTTATTCAAGCTATTCTTTTTTTCGGCTATGCACGAGAACAGTCTACGCCGCTGTAAACAGGCAAGAGGCCATCTGTCGCAAAGCGCGTATTCCCGGTGCACTGTATACATGTCTGAAGAATGCTCGTAAAACCTGATTAATTGGACTAACTTAATCTGAAAATGCTACATTCAGATTACCGCTTGTCATGGTCTTGGGTTTTTGCTAAACCTGTTTCCTGTTTTATTTTGAAAGTTTTCCCAGGATATCAGTTTGAAACATTGAATGGAAGATTAAATACAATGATTAGATTAGGAGCTGAAGAGGAGAGTTTAAAGATAAGAAACACCTTTCCTGCTGTTCCTATCACATGGAAAACTGGGGAGGGGCAGATTAAAACCTAAAGTACCTTTTGCTACTGATACTAAATCTTGTGTCGAGCGTCAATACTAGAAATATGTCTTAGGATCGATACAAAGAAGTGGAAATGTGTCTCATTAGATCACTTTTCTCAGTGCAGCACTCTGCTTCTCTGCTGCTGTTGTGTGCATGCACAAAGCAATCACCTCGTTCATTTTTGAGAATCAACACAAACATTAAAAACTGTGTTTAAACATGCATGTTCTCACGCCATTAACAGAAAATAATACAGCAGAAGTTTTGCAAATATGGTAATGAGTGATGTATATAATAATCATAATCCTGACACATGGCTCTCCCCAACATGAGAGCACTGTGTGTGTGTGTGTGTGTGTGTGTGTGTGTGTGTGTGTGTTTACATTGTCAGAAGAAAAGAAAAGTTATTGCATAATTTCTGTCTCTTTCTCTGTATTGTAGTGAAAAAGAAATACAGAACGTGTCACTGCAAAACCACGAAAACCTTTCATTTTTGCAGATCCCCCTCGTGCTTTGTGGTGGCTCCTCACGGGGCCTTTCTCGATGGAGTAGCGTGGTTTTCTTAAGCGCTCCAGCTTTCTGCCCAAACAGAAACACTTAGACACGGTCCTGGACCAGCGCACTGGGCTTGGATCATAATGAGGTGCATTTCTGCCCCTTCAGAACCAAGGATCTTTTGGGTCTCTTTCCCCATCGTGAATCACCAAAGACAAGGGCCATTCAATTGGTAAAACAACCCCAAAATAAACTGTGGATTCAAAGATTCCGCCAGCCAACGGGCTCTAGATTGAAGCCTGAGGCAGCAGAATATATTTTCTTTCGTGATTCATGGTGACCACAGTTACCACAAAGTCAACTGCTGCGAAACGCCAACCTAAGTACAGACATTAAGTTTTATGGTTTTAATCATGACCCAACAAACCTCGATGCTCTTTACTTTTATCATGATATTCATTTCTGTTTCAAAATATCCCCCCGCTTTATATGTTGATAATATGCAAAAGAAGCATCTTATTTCTGTTTATAACTGATTGGACAGAAGGGAAAAAGCCGCAGTTATGGAGGGCATTTGAATATTTGTTTACCTGCGGCGCTTTTTGACCGTTTCTCCAAAAGAAAAAAACAACACAAAGGCACGTCGGGTGCCTGAAGCACAACGACAGCAGAGTGCAAAAAAAAAAAAAATGCTGTTGTAAACAACTGGATAGAGGCGCCTCTCGCTGCAGAAAAGGTGATGCGGGTGATCGTCCCCCGAAGCTACTGTTGCTAATATGAGCAGAACACCCGGCATGAGAAACAAAGGGATCATAGCATGTTTGTGAGCTTTAAAAGCAAGTCATTGCATTTCTGACCACATTCTTGCATCTTTCCAGAGCACAAGTTCACACTGCAAGTTCTGTCCATCCAGACAGAGTACTGATTCTTGCGAATTAGTAGTGAATTGATTGGAGCACACGGTGCTGATCACACTGGACACATGAAGTGGGGACTCGGGAGTTAGGATCACAGGCAAAAGAGCGCCTTGCATTCATTAATATTTCCATAGACCACTTGACACGCCCGTGGAGGAAAATACTGAAGAGGAGCTCTGCCCTACCTCTCCACTTTAACTTAACCATTTTACACCATTACAGCCACGCGTGCAGACTGTCGTACGGATGTCTTTTGTGGACTGTCTCCAGGCCACAGACACAGGGCCCAAATGTCATTTTAGCTCACTTTTCCTTAGTCTGAACCATTCATACTTTTAGCTCACTGCACTGGAAAAGATGAAGACTAACAGCAAAAGTGGATGCTGAAAGCGTGCGTCACATTGTCAAATATAACTCGGATCACCATGGAAACTGAGTAACAGTGTATCAGTGGGTGGTTCTCTTTTTTCCACACACACTTTCTTTTCATTTCTCTCCTTGTGTCTCTCTTCACCAACATATATACACACACACATTTCTGGATAATAGCATCACAGTCTGAAAATGTTTTGGAAAGTGCTGCTGGCTTATCTGGGTTTTTTTGACTTGTAAAGTTTGGAATCAAGAACATGGAAGGCATTCGATGAATTGCAACTCCTTTTTCTTTGTCCACTCCCTCCGGCTGATGGCACTGGAGCTTTTTAAGCACTTCCTTTCCAATCCAGGTGCACCTCGTGTAGCAATGCAGGTACACCTGGGCAGAGCTTCTAGAGAGGGAAGAAAGGGACGGCACAGGGAACATACACAGCCGTAACACAAGCCATTTCAGTTTCATTTCTATTCATTTTATGATGTTGTTAAACTACTTTACAGGAGTTGTTTAGCTTGTACATAGAAGCTGTTGCCTGGCTTCTATGATGATAGATTGCATTCGAGGATGAAAAGGCATTAAGTGTGTATCTACTTATATGGATTAATATCTAAAATCAGAGTGCAGGAGATTTTTCAGTGGAAAATTCACTGATTTATAATGTAATGAATTATGTGCACTCGTATATACAACTCATTCATTTTTCTTGGGGAAACATGTTCTGTGCATTGCTTGTTCTTTTGCAATTTTGGTGACTTAAGTGGGTCCACTTTTAGCAGACTAAATTTGGAAATGCATTCTTTCCTCTTTCAGTGTTCATCACACCGCTAAATGGTGCATTTTAAAACCACTGTCCACAGTGTGGAAATACCTGCATTAGCTTCTTAAAGGGGCCCTGTGGCGTTTTCTTGTCCACTAACAAGTTTAGTTTTTATGCAGTACTATTCAGAGACACAGTAAAACATTTGCAAAAGTTTATTATTATTTGTTTTTTTAACATCCATGTTTACCAGTTGATTGTCTGCCTTAAATGGCGCATTACAGCATATCTAGGTGTTACCGCCACCTGTTGATCAGTGGAAAAGTGTGTATTCTGTAAATATCCTGTATTTAGCAGGCAACAGCTTCTATGTACAAGCTAAACAACTCCTGTAAAGTAGTTTAACATCATAAAATAAATAGAAATTAAACTGAAAGTGTTTGTGAGTGAGAGAGAGATCCAGACCCACTGACAGAAAGGCAGATCCATAACATTTCTGAAAGTCTAAAACTCCACCTGCAACTTTTAACAAAATGTATTTTTGCCAAGAAATCGAATCTATTAGATTATGAGATTTGTGTATACACTATTTCTAGTGCATCCACAGAGATGTTGTGTGCCTTTGATTCCAACAGGTGGTTAACTAGCTGCCAAAACATGTGTGCGTGCATAGAGGTCGCAGGACAATTGTTGTGGGTTTTGACAGTCTGCTCATTTGTCATCCCCACATCTGGACCCATGTAATGAGTCCTTTCCTTTCTATGCTGCACGTTAATTGCTGCGATGTGGGTTCAATGCAGCATCTCTAAAAAGAAGTCGGACAGCTCACAGTGTTCCCGCGTCATGATAGTTGTTAAACAGCATTCCAGCACAAGGAAGGTTTTTAAAAACAAGTTATGGCGCCGCTGCTTTGTAGTAATGATTTTATTGTGTGTTCCCAGGTCTCGTCAACATTCTCATAACTAATGATGGCTAAGACTGCACAAATAATGAATAAAGCGGCGTGTTGAGTGTTGATGGAGAGCAGGAGGAGACGGAACTGAGCTTTAACCGGCTGAGACTCGGCCTCTGCAAACAAATAAATACAAATCAGACCTGAAGAGAATATGAACAAGCAAATGTGTAAATTAGCATTACACACAAATAGGACTTGATTATGTTGTACTGTTGTGTATAGACAGTATTATTAAAACAATAATTCAGACTAAAAGTGCGGCGTTGCATTTGCCCCAGATGAGTTGCGTATGTGTGCGCACGTATCTGTGTGCACACTTGTTTGTGTGGACAAGTGTGTTGATGTTGAAGAGTGCTACGGAAACAGCATGGAGGGAGGAAAAGCATTCCCATTAGAGTGCCCATTAAGTCTGATTACACGTGATTGCGGTCTGTCGGAGAGAGATGACCAGCCCATTAATGACATAAACAAATGCTTTCCCTTCTCACTCTCGTCATAGGAAAACCCCCTCCTTTTTTTTGGTTGGTCTTCTTCTTCTTCTTCTTCTTTCTTAACATAACTTCCATTGATTTTTGGCAAAACACCAGACTTGGATTCCAACCCAAGCATTTCTGCTTCCCTGCACATTTCGTTTTGTCATAGTTGCTTTATTTATGGCAGAATTCCTTCCAAAATGTCGTTTTTCTCGGCTGACGCACACAAAACAAAAAGATATATTGACCTATTCGAGGGTCCAAAAGAGAAAATAAATGTATACCGGGATATCTTCGCCCTTAATGCAGCGTATTATGTGGTATTTGTAGTGGTAACCACATGTGGCAACCACCAGAGGTTACTTTAAAGCCGCTGTGGGAGTTGCTGTGTTGAGGATAGTGTTGCATATAGGTCATCTGAGCCGGATGTAGTGATCTGACTACATCCTGCCACACGTACTCGGCACAATAGGCATTAAAACTGGTGTCGGTGCTTCACTGTGACATATTTACTTCCTTTAAATATCCTCTTCTGGCTTATGATTTCAACGAGACAGTGAGGTTTGTATGTGTTTTCAATGTCTTTGCCTCACCCAGTGAGAAGCTTTTAAACTTTAAAATGCCTTCGGGCTAATTTGGCAACATGTCTGCGATTGTTTCTAGCCTTCTTGAGGACCTACTGGTTTTTCGTAGCTGGACTGTGATGTTCATCTCAGTTGCTCATTAGCTTGACTCTGCTCCGTTTGTGTGTTTTTGTAGGTGTTTCTCTCGGGGAGCTCAGCAGCTCCTCAGCGCTGCCTGGAGTCAGACTTCACCACTTCCTCTGGTAAGACCACTTCACCACTTCATCTTGCTCAATTCCATACAGACAGAAACCTGCACCCTGCCAATACACAGTCTCCCCCCCCCACTAGACCTCCCTGCTGTGGCCAAGACACACACACAAAAAACCAGGGTCTAGCAGTGGCGAGTCGTGATGTAAATGTAATGAAGCTCAAATCTTGGTAGTGATCCAGGCTAAATCATTATGTGCCAGACTGGGGATCTGTCTGTTGACTCTGTTTCTTGTCTTTGGGACTGACAGCAGCAGACTGTGCATGTTTTGTCACAGGGCTGGGTCATGTCGTGCATGTCGTTTTTCAAGCACATTTTTAAAAGTTTGTCAATCTCACCTCAAGATCCATTTAGCAGCTGTGTTTTGGAGCTTTTGGGAAAATGTCATGGTTTTCATCAGGAATTAGAATTCTAGATGTTTTCAACATGGACGAGAAGTCCTTTAAGTCCGAACTCCAATCAAAGCGCTACACTAACATGTTGACCGTCACATGGGCGCATTAGAACAGCATGCCGGCTGTAAAGAGCACATAACGCAAACGCTTCCCCTACAGGCTCAAAGCTGCTGTTCATTCAGGTGCAGTGGAAAACTTGCTTCACTTGGCACCCATTTTAAAACTGCTGATACATCAAAACCTCACTGTGATTGATTTAATGTCAGCTAATCAGGAAGAAACAAAAAAAATATGAAATTGTTGTGACCATTAAATGAAGGCAGTTGCTACATTTACTGCAAAGGCTTGCGTTGCTATGAATCTGGACAGAAGCAGCATTACTTCCAGTGTATTGCACGGAGGGAAATATATGTGACAGCTTATTAAAAAAGAAGACAAACAGACTGCCGTGTAGCTCAGAGGAGATGTCAGAGGGGGAACAAAAAGGCCTCCGTCTGCACGCATAAAATAGGAAAATGTGTCGGAGCTAAAGATGTAATGATGATAACGTGGATGCCAAACATCATTTATGTCTCTGTAGGTGACGCGTTAGCTGCAGCTGTCAGCCATTCGTCATGACTGTGTTCTCCCTGCTGGCCGTTATAGCGCTGCATGGATTATTGGTTGTAATACCACCGATGTATTATATGGACATGCTCGGCTCTCTTAGTCTCCGGTGGTGGATCATGCTCATGACTGTGCACAGTGTAACAGGAACACTGTAGCATTTCCAAAACGCACCCGATAGCCCCCCGTGTATCAGCGATCCTCTCTGACATTGGGCTGTGTGCTTTTTTTTTTTTTTTTTTTTTTTTTCCCGGCAGCTAGAGAACTTAATGTAATATGATAAGCGCACCGCAGACTCCCGACACAAAGTCATTCGGTTGATTCCTCTATCAGCTTGAATTCTTTAATGAAAACACCATCTGCTGTCCTTTCTGTGATACCAGTTGCCATGATGATGCACCTGTATCACGTTGCACAGTGTGATGCAGCTTCGTAAATAAAGTATTAGAGAGCTTTAATTATAATGTTCGATGGATCAAGATCGAGTCTTATCTGAATTCGACCTCAAATAAGATGCATGTTGGTCAAAGCCCGTGACTAATGTTTACCGCTGCTTGTCCGGTGTTGATTCGTGATGCAGGCAGACATTGCGCACGATGAGACTACGAGTGAAGACTGTTGGGGTGTCTGATAGATTTGGACAGTACTTAAAGTAGATTAATACTTGATGCATTAATACTGATGGATCAATGTGTACGCAACATTTTATAAACAGTTCGCTATTTTAGTCCAGTGTTTTCTGACAAATACTTACAAAAGTATGTGGACACCAAAACGTTGCACATGTTAATAATATAGTATTCTTCTAAACTAAAGGTTTTACAACCAAATCTCGCAGCTTTCTTCAGCAAGTTTCTCAGGGCATGTGATGACACATGGAAGGCATGCAATAGGGCCGAAAGCTCTGGAAAAATCTTAATGTCTTCATTTTTGTTGAAGTGTGGTGAGATCTGTTCATATAAGAGCCCAGTAGTATACAGATTTACTGTCCAATTAAAACATGTTTGGCAACAACAGATATTAGTTTTCTTCTCTGAGACCAGGGTTTTATCTTCCAAAAAGAATTATACCAAACATTTAAAACGCTAGGGAGACGTAAGAGCCAACAAGGAATTATCAAAGATAACACTGATCTCCACAGGTTGGTTATTTGGACCCTACTTAAAGGGTAACTTCAGTGTTTTCAATCTGGACCTTATTTTCCGTGTTTTTGCATCAAAGTGAGTAATGGGTACAAAACATTTTGAAATTTGGCCAGTATCACGTTAGTGTGCTGCAGCCGCTAAACGGGCTCCTCACTGTCAATGTGCATCCACTAAAAGTGCTCGTTTTTTGCCAGTGACAGGCTCAGGTTGTTACTACAGAGAAATAAAACATCTTTCTTCCCTTTTTCTTTCTGCGGTCTATTTGATATTGTATCACGTGACTTGTTGCCGGAAGACAACAGTGGAAATGTGAGCGAGAGTTGGAGACTAGAAGTGCTAGTGTTTGTTCTGTTGGAGTACACAAAGTGTAGCTTCGTGTTATCTAAAAGATTGTCAATGTCATGGCTGAATATTTAGCTGATTTCCACATTGTGGATGCAACGCCAGATTTCAGAATGAGCCTTCTCTGAGCGAGACTCGGTTAGACACGTTGACAAACAGAAAGCGAAAGGTAAGTTGCAATTCAGCCCCGAGCCAACGTCCACACATTCACAACAGACCACGTTTACTTCCAGATTTAAGCCTAAATGAATAAACATTCACATCTATAGCTTTTATGCATGTTTGAAGTGTTTGTTTTTTCTTTAGAGCTCAGGCTGACTTGTGTTAACCACCACGAACCTCTGGTAGTTCTGAGTAACTTTATCACTTGACGGAGAATCAACTCGGGCAGAGTAGGTGTGATATTATGCTGATCAGAGTATGGTCCTGCTAGCACAGCCGACACTTTTGACCATGTGGTGGAAATGTCAAGTTTCAATTTTTACGATATATAGAAGGTTTCAGTTTCATAGCGTCTGCAGAAGTTGTGACAAATTTCAGTGTGTGAAGTTCTGAAAATGTTTTGGGACGGAACTATTGACGTGTGGGGAAAACCCTGTTTATGCATTGCATAATTCTGTGCTCCTCCTTTAACTAAACATGCCAAAGTAGAAATGGATTCACTGAGAATCAGTTTGAAGATGTGAGAGCATGAACATGGTGAGTGTGAAACCTTTAATCTAGTCTTCCATCGACCTTCTCTTCCTCAATGTGACAGTGGCTGGTTTACAGAATGCTCTCTAAACGCTCTTCTAGTGTGAAAGTGGGGGATGTTGTCAATACAAATGTGTTTTTCATTACCTTAATGTCAGACTCGAAGAATGTTGAGTTCTTTCGTGCATCGAGCTTCGGCCCCTATTATGATGACTTGTTGCATTGCTGTGCTTTCCCCTCTCAAATATCTGTTGCCCTCGTTCATGTTGGCAAAAAGCTTTTACGGGATAGCGCTGGCATTTGAAGAAAGCATGACAAACTAACTAATAACAGACATAAACTGTTGTGGTAAAGTATATCTGCAGGACTCATGTTGAACGCAAAGACAAAAGAGTGATTCAGAGCATCCTTCATCTGAGATCAACTGTAGTTTTACTAGTTTTTGCTAAAACAAAAGTATAAAATTGTGAAGACTTTGCAAGATACTGCTAGTCCCATTGAACTCTAGGTAGCAATAACCACTTCATCTGATATTTGGATGCTAGCAATGAGGAAAGATACAGCATGTACTCCATTAGGAGCCTATTTCCTGTTTCCTTCCTTACCCCTAACACTTGTGAGTTATATGACCATGCTTTTTTTTAATATAAGCTACTCTGTGTCTGAGTTTTTGCAGGAAATGTTTGTTATGATTCCACTGGAAGATGTGTGTAGTTGTGTCACAGCTTTGACACAACTACACACACAAGTGCACACACTATAAATTTGAGTGAAGGCCAAAGCTGTCAAAATCTGTATACAATATGCATTTTACATACCCACACAATCTCGTAGCTTAAAAAGCGTCATTCAGTCAGTATCATAGCATCAGTGTCTTCTATATATTTTCATATATATTCAGCTCGTACTGCATAGCATCAATTGTATTTGCATTATGCTTTCTAAGTGCTGACAGTAGTAGCCACGGTGAAAACATTTGATGAGGCCGTGCTGGTGAGTTTACATTTCTTTGTCATACTGTCATGTTTTATTTGCTGCAGCAGCACGTAGTACATAGTGTTCTCGCACCTCTCGTCATGCAGCATGTGGTAGCTGTTGTGGTGGAGAAATGAAATGTCCCAGTTATAGAGGAGGAAGTGCTTACCCACAGTGCAGCTCCGTCTCCAAACTGTGGCATAAAACGCGCCCTCCTATGAGTGAACCTCACTTCACACAAGAGTCACAAGTGTCTGAGTGTGTGTGTGTGTGCAGTTGTGCAATCCGCGAAAGAAACAGAGAGGGTGAAGGAGGGTTTTACTCTTTGACTGCAGATGAAAAAGTTTTGGTTTGACTCCAGTTGTGGCTAAAAATCTGCGTGAGACCGCCAGCCTTAACTGGAAAGTTGCTGCCGGTACAATCTGAAACTTGGCGACCCCTTGAGTCTCTGAAGTGGAAGTGTTTTACATCATCAGTGTCAAGGACAGTCCCCGTCAAACTGAGTCACTGACGTCTTGAGACGATGCTATTAAAATGGCTCACTTAGTATTTTGGCTTTTGCCTTTTCTTAATTTGTCCCCGCTGGCTCCCGTACATTCTCTCAGACTATCATCCAAATCAGATGAAGCAAAATAAAAAATCAGCTGCTGTCGCCTGTGAACAGACATCTTAACTGATCATTTACAGTTGTGTGAAAAAGTGTTTGCCCCCTTCCTGATTTCTTATTTTTTTGCATGTTTGTCACACTTAAATGTTTCAGATCATCAAACAAATTTAAATATTAGACAAAGATAACACAAGTAAACACAAAATGCAGTTTTTAAATGAAGGTTTTT